AAATTGTAGCGAAATGCTACAAGTTCTTCAAATACCTATAGAATGATATGTTTCTTTTATGTGAGTATAAAACACTTGAATACACCAGTTCGATTAGCTATGATTAACTCAGGTGAACTTAGCTGTCTTTTCAAGTAATTGTTTAGTTGAAATTCCTTCTTTATTTCTTAATTTTAATTGCCTGGCCCATTTTCTGGTATATATTCATGATCTTAGGAAAACATGTAGGTTTCAAAAAAAATTGATTAAAAACAAAAATACAAAACCCTGTAATTCGAGCAAACTTTTGAAAGGTGGACCTTTCTTTGTCAGTTTTCCTCTGGTAAAGAAAGGCCCACCGTTTGAAAGCACTGGGTTATAGCATTTTGTATTTTTTTTGTCTTTACTAGTATGTATAATACCCATTATTCATTGTGTAGAAAGTCTGTGATGGAGAGAAAATAAACATACTTCTAAGTTCTGAAGTTGAGTTGGGATTTATGGTATTTTTGGCAGGTTTAGTGTGTCATTTTGTTTTAGGTTGTGTGTGTCATGGAGTGATATGTACATAATGCATTTATGTTTTACTGAACTGTATGATATCAAAATGGTCAAGGAATTACACAAAATATTTGAACAAGTTAGTCTTTTAGCAATATTTGTAAGAAGTGCTTTATTTTATGTAGGGTTAAGTATGGACTAATTGTATTTCATGTTCAAATTAATAGGGTTAAGTATAGAGTAATTGAATTTCATGTTCAAATCAATAGGGTTAAGTATGGAGTATTTGAATTTCATGTTCAAATTAATAGGGGTAAGTATGGAGTAATTGAATTTCATGTTCAAATTAATAGGGTTAATTATGGAGTAACTGAATTTCATGTTCAAATCAAGATTTGAACATGAAATTCAGTTACTCCATAATTAACCCTATTAATTTGAACATGAAATTCAATTACTCCATACTTACCCCTATTAATTTGAACATGAAATTCAAATACTCCATACTTAACCCTAAATAGGGTTAAGTGTGGAGTAATTGAATTTCATGTTAAAATGTATAGGGTTAAGTATGAAGTAATTGAATTTCATGTTCAAAGCAATAGGGTTAAGTATGGAGTAATTGAATTTCATGTTCAAAGTAATAGGGTTAAGTATGGAGTAATAGAATTTCATGTTCAAATTAAAATGACAGAGTTCTTTTGTATTTTATATTCTGTAATTATGAGAGAAAATAACAACAACGTGTCATCTAACTATCAGGTGAAGTGGAGCTTGAAAATCTTCCATTCAAAAAGGATGCTTTAAAAAACCTAAATTTACCCATTGAGATACGTGCTGGTATGTATTTATTGTGATCCAGTAAATTTCTTTTTGATGTAAAGTCTCAACTTTTTGTAAAAAAATTTCTATATTCCCATTCCATTGTTTACAGAATGAGTTTTAAAATTTCATTGTGTTTATTAATGTATTCAGTTTTGATTTTAAATACCAGTCTTAAGATAAATTATCCAAAGTAAATATTACCGAAATGTTTGCATTAAGTTTCTTGCATCAATGTGACAGATAACTTAAAATTAATGTTTTATACAAATACTTTTAACTGTATGCTGTAAAAAATATATACAGTATTTTTGTACTGTAAATCATTTTTTTAGTTATTTTTGAGCATAAAATAATTGTTGGGATCTATATCATTTAAAAACAAATTTGTAATTTTTTAAGTAATAATTTTCATACAATTGTAGATTTGATAATAGCAAGAAGAAGATGTTTTATCACACAGTAATTTACTGACATGATCTTTTTAGAGAATCCTATGTTCAAAGTCTTTTCATAAGTATTTGATAAGTTTCTTTATAAAAATGTAAATAATTTTTCAACAAACCACCTTGGTAAATTGTTACATTATTCAAAATTAATATCAGTTAGTCTGAGCATATTTTATTATTGAATGATAGTTGAATTGTTTGGTGAAGAATTATGATAAAATTGAGAAAATAATTATATAAAGACATTTGACAGACTGCATATTTGATTTTTCTTTATTCCAACAATGTATTAAACATGCTGAAAACTTGCTAGATGTGTAGCATTGTAACTGTTATTTAGCCCTTTTCTGATAATTCTGTCTTTCCGAAAGGCTTCATGATGGTTATTCAAACATTGTATATCGTAAAACAGAAATATTTAATCTTAACCCTTTCACTGTTCAATTAATTTTCAGGCTGATTCCCAAAAAGTTTCAATTATTCACCAAAAAATATGAATTTGATCCTTTGTATTACTTTTTCAATATTTAAATAAGCAGTATCTTCTATATCTGACAGTAATATTCCTTGAAAAATAATGATTTAAGCAAAAAAAATTGAGGAAAATTTGAAGAAAAGTGTTCTCCAGTAAATGGCTAACAAGACAAAGTCAGTAAGAAGCCAAAATCATTACAAAATATAAAACAAATTATTTTGATAACAATATCCAAGATATAAAGAAACTATCTTTATATAGATTCTACGTGTGTTCCTGCAAAGTTATAAATTTTGTAATGAGGCATATAAACATCCAGGTTTCACGGCGTAGAACACAGATGGCAGCACGTATACAGGTTTGGTGATTGTTTCAAGTATAGGGCGATATACATGCATGTTGCAGTAGAGGTAAACCTTTTTGATAGTCGCAGGGTAAATCCAAATTTTATGGTCAGTAGGTATAAATGTTTATTTGGATATAATGGAACTACAAAGCATAAGGGTTAAAGGGAGGGATTTTCTTGTTTATAGGCATTTAAAAGGGAAAAAAATTATAACCAACTGATTGATTTCAGTTTATTTTGTTTAACACAAATTTTGAGGGAATTACAGAGTTTTGTTTATGCTGACTTTCATTGGCAAGACTAAACTAAGTTCATCAGCTGTGTTGACTTCTGCCATTCTATTATATAATCCGTAGAATAATTCAGAAGTAGTATAAATCTCCTCCTTTCAATGATATGGGTATAAACTTGGAGAGTAGACTGTACATCGTACAGGACTTGCAAACTACTTATTCCTATTATTTGGCACTGAATTCTATTGTAATGTATTTTATTAACAATGCAATGTCTAGTATTGTTAATAAGACCGTACGTTGCATGTTTTATTGTTTTTTTTACTTTTAATTGATGTAAAAAGTTCTGCAACCAGTTAATATAGTTCGATTTTTAATACTTTGGTATTTGAAAGGTTTTGTCGGGAAAATAAAACTGCAGATTCCTGTCCGAAGATTGAGAAGTGAGCCATGGGTTATTAGTTTTGAGAAGCTTTTCTTAGTTGCAGGACCAGTGTCTTGCACAGAGGTAAACATATTTTCTAAGATGTATTGCTGAAATGCTTGTGTCTACGTAAGTCACTGTCTAATTATGCAACCTTTATGACAAAAGTTATCATATTGGTCGCTATAAAGTCAGAAGAATTCTGTTTTATGGATTTTTATTTAACATGACTAGAGAAATAAAAGTTATTTGTATAAAAACAAATAAAGTCAGTTAAGTGTGACTTCATCCACTTAATCCTGCTTAATAAATTTAATACTAGCATATTTAAGAAATTAAATATGTAAAAATTATGTAGTTGAGTGTGCTTTGATTTTTTTCTGTTAAACGTTGTTTGACTCTATTCTGTATAGTAACAATATTGAAAACGATACGTCTGCTTGAGTAAAATTAATTGTGATGTATGAAGTTGTCCCTCTGCTATCATTCAAACACACTTGTTCATCAGAAGGTATACATTAAGTGTAAACGTGTTGGTTACTTATATTAAACATCACTGTCTGGCTATGAAAATAAAGAAATATCGTCTGGATTCCTAGTTTTAATTGAAATAATTAAAGTTTCATGTAAAGTATTCTGGTTAACAATATGAAATAACAGTAACTTTATGTAATCAGCAGTTTGATGTGTCACAATTTCTTGTTTACTTTCAAATAAAAGAATTTGTACTTAAATCTAACTAGAGTGTTTTATTTATTTAATAAGTAGTCTGGAATAATAGAAGTAGAAAAAATCATTTTTAAATGTCATATGTTAAAAGACAAATTATGACTAGGAAAATATATCTTGGAATCTGTTATTTCTGTGTATCAAAGTAACCATTGTTTAATAAACAAATTACTTTCATTATTTAGCCTTAAAATCATACCTTACTCCCTCCCTCCCCCACACACAGTTACTATTTTTAAATGAAAAATGCTGTCTTATGTAAATATGCATAACATTTTAAATAATTGTTTCAATGATATTTTTAGTATTTCAATCTATGATTTGTAGTTTATTTAGAAACTAAAAACATGTTGGCTTACGTGAACAAACACGGCTTATTGTCGATACAAAATTGGTTTGGAGCACAATAACTCCGTCGTGTATTTGGCAGCGACACAAGTTGGTGGTAGTTAGGCCTTGTTTCATTTTGTGGTGACACTTTAGTAGGGATTTGATCCAAAGTGTTCTAGTACAAATGACAGCATAAATGTTATATTGAAAGGAAGCTAGTGATCATTAAAAAATTAAATGTTTTCTATTTTTCATATACCAGACTTTTATTTGCTTTGCATTTATAGAAGCCAGAAAGAGGTGAGTAAACTTGCTTTCGAACCTGACATGTTAAGTTCGGTGTTTAGCAGGAATTACTATTATGGCTACTATTTTTATTATCTTTGTAACTAGTGTGTTTTGATGGGAAATTTCTGAAGTTTTGCACAGTAAAGAGAACAAAACTGAGTAGAAGGCATAAGAAACAAAGAACGTAAATTATACATTTATTATAACAAGAAATGCAGCTTTTTGATTGAATATTTTTTTCATTTGTATGCAGTATGATGAAGAAAAGGAAGAGCAAATTGTTCAACAGAGGAAGCTGTCTCAGCTAGATGCTTTGGAAGCTAAGTGGAAGGTAGTAGATGATTTGTTCGTCATAACTAAGTTTGGGTATAAATAAACAGGTTTATGTTGGAGGTAGTATAGCCTACACATAAGCTTTATAGTAGTATAGTATAGTATAGCCTACATGTAAGCTTTATAGTGCATTTCAATTTGTAATAACTTGTGAAGATATTCCAACCATTCCTATTTTCACAGTATCATTCTGAATTTTAATCCCCAGGTTATACTTTTTTAAGGTTCCAATTTTTGGTATTGTTTTGCAGGTGTGTTATAACATGATCAGATAAATTTGCCATGGAATGAAATGAAGTAATGACACCATTAAGGTTGAAGTCATTTAAGTGCATTTAGTCCTGCAGCTTTGCTGTAATCCTGAATAAAATATCAACCAATTAGAAATCATATTTATAGATAGCCCATTCAGAAATTGGGACATTCGTTAGTTTCATTGGAAAGATTTCAAAGCAAAAGCCACTGAGCCAAGAATGTGTTTATAAAATGAAAAGCATGGGGTGGAGGTGTGAGGGGGGAAGAGGTTTACATTGAGATGTCACTCTCACAACAAAGAACCTAAAAAGTTTAATACATAAGCCATACCAAAGGTGAAAATAAGAAAAAAACAATTGCAACAATTACAATTTTAAATCAATTAGGGTTTGTATCAGATAATTGTATTTTGAGCTTTGATCAGTGATTGTCTATAATATTTGTTTATTTTAATGCAAAAATTTGGAGTTGAGTATTGTTGCTGTACTGAGAACAAAAAAAAATGTCATTGTTATTCAGAAGCCCCCTAGTGGCACAGTGGTAAGTCTGTGGACTTACCACGCTAAACACCAGGTTTTGATACCCATGGTGGGAACAGCACAGCTAGCCCATTGTATATCTTTGTGCTTAATTGCAAATTGTCAGATATAAAAGACTGTTTAGTGTATGTAGTATTATTAATTTTGTAATTCATTGATGTCGAGCTATTAAACGTTGTTTGCAGTCCATTGATGTTGAGGCTATAGAGATTTCTAGAAGGCCTAAGTGATAGACATATAAATAACTGTGACCAGACGAGCGGAAACAGAGAGAGTAAAAAAGTAAAGTCACAGGAAAGAGAAGTTTGGGGAGAGAAAAGTTAGAAAATACAAAGTTAACCATCGTAGGAGTGAAAGGCCCAACGGTTGATATGTTTGAGTGAGATTAGTAGTTTGAAAAAAAAATAAGGAGAATACCTTGTCTTATCAAAGGGTGTTTTAAGCTAATTGACACCACCTGTGTGGACTTTCACGAAAAGCAGATGATTATTGGAAGCGCATGATATAACTGCAGTAATTTGCTCAACAGCGTAATTGAATTATACATGGATACTATTGCAATAGAAATAGAGAAAAACAGTTTGGCTTGTCAACTGAATTCTAAAGCAATTGAATAGGCCTCAATGGACTTTTGACAAGAAGAAGAGAACTGTATAGTGTTTAAGATACAACAATGATCATTATAGTGTAAAGAATGCTGTACATACGTTTAACTTGCTTTGAATATTTCTATTATTTTAAAAACAAGTCGAGTGCGTGCTGTTTGTTTATTGTCAAATTTTTCTCCAACAAGTCGCAGACACCTACTGTAGAAGAATCCTTGGCCAAACACACCCACATACTTATATTACTATTCATACTAATAAAAAGTAAGTTTCTGACACAAATAAATAACCTTATTAAGATATAAAGAAAAGTATTTATTGGGATATTATAAGAAATATGTTTATGTTCTTACAAGTTACTGGAAACAGACATTGCTATGATTAATTTATTTTTTGGGAATAAATTGTTTTCTATTTCATGGTGTATAAAATAATCTTTTTTGAAACACTGAACTGAATCAGTCACACAAAAATCATCCCGAAAGACAAAATATCATCAAGCAAGTTGATAAATATACAGACATTTTTTTCTGAATTGTGTAATAACATTTTCAAACCTTATTAAGTTATTTTTTATCATTCATTATATTAAAAACATTTTTAAATTGTTTTCTTGAAGGCAGACCAGGAATCAAAGCAGAAGCAATCATATTATGCCTCATCTTACAGCTCCTGGTTAACGTATGGAACATCACTAGTAACCAATATTATTGAAAATCTCCAAGTAAGTGATACGTATGAGAAATAGTTTTTTTTTAAACAAAGAATATCTCACATTCTAGTCAGAAACACTACTCAAATGATAGAAACCAGTATCGTAATAAAACCTTAAATAAATGTTTGAAATTATTATTTGTAAGTTAAGAATTTCAGAATAGTTAGGTTACATAAAATTTAGAAATACAGTCTTGAAGTTTTGAGTAGTAAAGAATGAAAAAACAAGAAATATTTCTAGTTTGGTACAATGCAAATTGGTGCGAATGATTCCTTATTTATTTGTAACATAGGTTTGTTTCAAAACAACAATGACATGTTTGATTGAATGCATCAAAATTGAAGTTATTCATAGAGCATTATAGGTACAATTTAAAATTAACTGTTCACTGAAAATAAAGTAGTTTATCATTTAGTAGCCGAAATAGACTAAAATAAAACCTAATTGAACAAATTCATACACCTTTCATTATGCAGCAAATCTCCCATTCACAAGCATACCACCGAAACAGAATGGAATTAATAAATACTGTATTTTACAATCCTTAAGACACCTTTTAATATTTCGTATCAAAATAGCACACTTTAAAGTAAAACGTTTAAGTTAACTGGAGAAGAGATAATATATTAAAGTATGAATTGATCTGTTTACCACGTATCGTTGTAAAGGAGTTAAAAATTATTAAAGAGTATATCCATTTGGTGTGACTAATTCTCAGTTGCTTGTGATATAAGATTCTTACAAAACAACTGTCAAATATTTTCATTGATAACATCAAAACTGTCCAAGAGCTGACCTTAAAGCAACATTAGATACAATTCAAAACTAACTTTTCACTCAAAATAAGACCCATTTTTGTTCAATTTCATATCAAAGTTTACTGTATATGTCAATTCCTCAACTAATATCAAGAGCGTATAGTTGGTTGTTTCAGTGTACTATTGCCATAATTACCCTAAATTCATTAATTCCAATTGAGTTCATACTTATCTTAAATTTTTATGCCGGAGGACTACTTGGATAGAACTGTACATCATCTAAAGTTTGTGTAATGTTGGTATTCCAACTCTAGTTAAAGCAGTTTACTAAATGTCTGTTCATCCAGCAGTTACATTTATTTTTGTGCTTATAATGTATCATATGTGTGTGTAACAATTTTGTGTTTTAACTTACTGTGTTTGGAAACACGCAATATATAACATATTTATTGTATGAATGTTAAACTGAAACAGGTTTAAATTGTTTAACACCAAACCATGTATGTAACTAATAATACACATAAGCAGTGTAAATTACTTGTTAGCACAGTGTCACTAATGATAGATAGCACACAGTATGTCTTAACTTGAAATATAGTTTAACTACAAACATCAGTGAACATAGGTTCTGTTACACAAGCTCTTATAAGTGAACTATCAAACTGCCAAATCATTTATTAACTAATGTACTGATTATCTTACAGAATCGTAAACTCTTGCCAGATAACTACTCGATCAATCCTCTCTCTATCAACAACTGCTTGATCATTCATACACTGAATACATTAATGAATTCTCAGTCACTGGACTAACTTCTCAGTAAATGTTTCACTAACTTCTCATTCACTGCTTATTCATATTTATCGTTGTCTCTAGATATTGCCTGAAGTTGCTAGATTCTTGGTGTCATTCTGAACTTTCTAGGTCTATTTTTACTTTTATGAACTTACTTGCTCTGAATGTCATGCGCTCTTTAGTTAACATTTAAATTAAAATATTCAAAATATAGCTCACAACAATAAATTTCTAATAAAATAAATGTAAATGATAATTTAAACATTGTATGAACAATTAGAAGTTTAATGTTCACCCTGGAAGAAAGAAGGCCCATCTTTTGTAAGAGTTACATTTTTGTGATTCATAAACATCATATTGATGAAATCAAAAACACAAGTTTTAAAAATAAGGAATGTTTTACTGAAACAAATAAACTAAACTTTGGTCAAAATGAACACTAAAGAAAACAAGGCT